AAGACAGCTTGTTGTTGATATATGGAAGTGCTACACATGGCACAGCGGCGTGGAATGACAAGACATGGCAGTGCACACCCATGAATTTTGTTTAAGCTAAATGCTAAGAATGTTTCACACTTTGTCCTCACTGCTATCAATCATCGTGAAGTGTTTGCGTGTCTTTGGCAATTCTCAACACTCAAAAAGACACATTAACAAGAGACATTAAAGGGGGGGGGAGGACCTGGGACAATTTTGCACACACTGACACTGGCAGTGTAAAAAATAGTTAGTAAAACTATTAGTAAAACGACTCTTTAATGGCATCACTTGAAATTATTTTTAAAAATGTTGCTCTTATCTTTTTTTTTTTTCATCTTTTATAGACCTGCCGTGATCTCGCTGGAATTTCCCGACCTTTTGTGAGCTCCTTTAGGTTGTACAACTGTGGAGAGAGACAGAGGGAGAAATTAAAGTCGATATCACATGAAAGGGGACTAATTCTTATGTTTTATTCATGTGAGTAAAGGATTAATATTCACAGAAATGAATTATAGACAAGCCGGGCACAGGTCAGATGAGCTGTTCAGTTTAACTTCAGCTTAGAATCGTGTGAGGGATCTAGATGCTTCCCCTAAGGAGCTGCTTGTGATGTCTGGGTTTATTACAAAAGCCTTGGCAGAGTGTGGGAGATGTGGGATCTAACTACATCACATGGCGTAATTACACTGATGGCAATTAAAGTTTGCCTATAAGTGCCTGTGTCCCAGCTTGTGGGATGTTCAGCGTTTAGTGGCAGTCATTAATTTAAATGGAAAATTACATTATATACATAAGCAGTTATTGTTCTTATTCAAGGCTTAGTCCGACAATCCAGATGTAGTCCTAATGTATATGTTGTTGAAACGCCAATCTCTTACGTAACTGTAGGGGTTGCGATGTGAGTGGCTTAAGCGTAACTGTGATTGATTACATTTAAATAAAAGTTACATAATATAATCTGCAGAGTATCTGCAGGTCTTGAAAAGTCTTTAAAAAGTCAGGTGCCTGACAAAAAAAGGTCTTAGAAGTTATTAAAGTCTTAAATGGAATTTACAAAAGTCTTCTCTTGCCTGCCATAGCCAGTATTCTCAATTAAAACATATGTTTGTGTTTGATTGTGGGTTGCCAGGAGACCTTATACACCTTTTTAACTAAAAGTGGGATTGCTACAACAGTGGAGGAGGCTCTTAATCCTTTTTGTGGACTTTTAGTCAGCACCATCAGACCTGTAGCAAAACACACTCAAGTGTCGATTTAGCAAAAACTTCATTAAATAATCCACCCATTTATGGCCATTTATGTGGGTCGAGATAGTGTTAATTTAATAAAATATATCATTAGGAATTATTGTCATATACTACTGGGAAGTACTAAAAAAGGAAAAAGTTGTGTATAATAAATGTATCATCTGTACTGATTTTTCATCAAACTTTCATGCTGTGGCCGGAGTGATCATATAACGGGTATTAAATTCTATGTGGTATTAAAAAGATCTCAACAAGTCTTACATTTAAGAAACCCTGTGACTGATACTATCAATATGGATCTCAAATCTTTTGACTGAAAGGAAATACGTTGCTTAATAGTAATCTTTTGTTGTCGTTTGTTGTTTCACCCTCTCTTAATTTGTCCTGTTTATGTTGACTGAGAATAGGCCAGACAAGATATTACATCCTTGAAAGCACATAGGGTTCAAAACACAATGAAGTTTGTGGCCTTGTCACTCTCTGATGATTTCATAACAGACTTATACCGTACAGTGCCTTCAGAAAGTATTAATTCCTGCATTTTGTTGAAGCTGTACCCTCCATTCGAACATGTTTTCCCATTTCTCATTGATAGATTAAAAACATTTGCCAATATTAATACATCCTCATAAATATGTCTCTGAGTCCTACATAAACCTGAGGTTTCTTGAGACCCATGTTTGCTCGAGGCTCACTGTAAGTGTGTATCTTCAACCTTAGCCAGGGCTTTACTAAGGATTTTAGAAAGACTTAATTGCCAGGCATTAAAAGAAAATTTATGTATTTTTTTTGTTAATTTTATTTCCAAACATAAAGATCTAAATTCTGTCAAAGACTTTTCTAGGCTATTAGTTATAAATATACAAAGTCTAAAAATGCTGGAATCAGCCCATACAATACAATACAAGTTTTTTAATTGGAAATCCTCACAGGTTGGGAAAACCCTCAAATTTCCAGAAACAAGAGAAAAGGGGATAGCCCTTATCAAATCTGTTCTGAATATCCACCATTCTATCCTACTAAATGTGAAAAATTAAAAGATAACTCAAAAGCATCATACTTCCATGATTGCATTGAAAATAAATGTTTAAATAGTGAGATAATGTGTACAGTAAGTCTTACTCCAAACAACACCGTTATATAGAGGTCAATCCTGATAAAGATGGACTGGCTTTTCAAACAAAAATAGCCAGCAGATTTCTGTGAATCAGTGGCTAATAATCCCCAGTATTATACCAGAGGTCACAAAGAATATTAGAGACCTATTGCAACTCTAACATTGGCACCATGGGAGTATTAATAGTAACGTCTGGTGCCAAAGATACAGTGGTATATTATTTGGTATTACAAATAGGGACAGGTGGATGTATGCAACATACTCATATACTCTGAGCCAAGTAAATATAGCTGTGAATGTGCAGCTCAGGAATGTGACATAGATAGTAGAGGCTGCAGAGTCCAACTGGATGAACAGAAGCTGCTGTTGGACATTGTATTTGGTATATGGACACATCAACAATTTTAAGTTAAGCAGGCATTAAAATTCAAGTATAGTACTACTTTACCTTAGCAGCCCCCTCCGTCTTCTCTATTTCACCATTATCCAGAGTTTCCAGAGTTCTCGTTAAAACCACTAGTGGCTAAATCCCAAACTTGTCTTGAAATTTGTGAGTTAATGTCCTTCATATCTGCAGTGATTCTCCGAGCCTGAACAGAAAGCTCCCTGCTTATGCTGTGGACTAGAGATTAATTTTAAGTCCTTACCTACGTGCTTAATGTGGTAATATAATGTATCGAGTGATTAACTGAAAATTAAGGAACCAAATGGAGCACTTTGCAATCATTTTGAGAACTCCTTAAAGAGTTATAATGAAGGTGCAGTGCAGAGGAGGTGTTGAAAAACCCCAGCTCTGCTATTACTGCTGTTCGGCATATCCGTGCACCTTCTTGCATTTCAATTACTTAATTCAGATTCATACATTTTGATTTATTTGACCCAATGATTGTGTGTTGGTGGGATACAATGAGTTTCCAAAGCCACTGAGAGTTAGTCATCCATTGTTCGTTATATAATGCAGCTTTAATTAAAGTCAGTCCTTCTTGATGACCTTTATATCTTTTTTGACAATAAGAAACAGACAAATGGAGGAGGTTGTATACAACTGGCAATTTAGAATACATAAAAGTACAAAGCCAGATACTTTTTATATTGTTCTTATTGTCATCAAAATGTATTGATCCTACATTGCATTGCCTTTTTCGTCAAAGCCTAAAATAGATTATTCTTCTGTGTTATACTGTTGCCCTGAACCTAATAAAAACATTTCAACGTGCCACACTCTTGCACTGGGTGACACATTCCTTCATTACAATGAACATGGGCATTGTAGTTTATTTTAAGTCAGCCCTTGCATACTTTAAATACTCACTAGCACACCAAATGTGTATTAATCCACAGCTGAGAATAGTCCCCCCAAAAAAGGCACTATTTACTCCTGTTTGTGTAACATGTTCTGAAAACTACAGTGCGCCCAGCTGTTTTAGGAAATTACTAAGCCTTTTTGAAAATGTAATTATTTAGTGAGATTAAGTTTTACATGCCACAGACAGGGTAGGGAAGTATTGAAAGACCGACAAGCGTATCCTTAGTTTTGGTCTTCTAATGGGTTTATTGACAAGTAGAAAAAATATAGAATATTGCCAGCCTTGCCTTTTTAAATAGTTAGATATTTTCTCATTTGTTGTTTTGATGATGGTGGTAGTGTGTGCTGTCAAATACATATAAATCCCCAATACATCTCCAGTAGTTTGCGATGTGGTGACTGTGATGTAAAGACTTGAAACATCTGTTTTTGTTAAGTGTCTTCCCTCATTGATTCAGCTTTTCCTTTTTATTTGTTGCTATGTTGTTGTCAAATCGACTTAATCCCTAACCATGGAAGTCTAAAGGATCTCTACTCTTTTGATTTAATCCTATTGTTTCAATCCACTATATATGTCCTTTCTTCACTATATTTTCTTTTACTGAATTAATTCAGTAAATTCAAAATCAACAAAAAGAGACCTATTTAGAGCAGTAACATCCTTTCCAATGCTGTAGAAATCCGTTGGCTAACTGAGGCATACAGCACATCATGTGCTCAGCCATGTATGTGCAGCCTCGGGGTTTGTTCATATGCATGCAGTCTTTCAAGATTTTTCAATTCAGCACTTAAGACTGCATATCTTTGTCCTAGCTCAGACGGTATTTGGTTCTTTGATTTGTGCAAAGTGAATGAACACACAGCACAATATGTTTGTAAAGGAAACCACCCAGAAGTGACACATCTATGGGTGAAATTAGTAGATTCATGCAGTGTGATTAGTCAGTAAGGAAGCCAATGGACAGTGTATCACCCAGACATGAATGGAAACTCATTGTTGTTTCAGTTTTAATAATAAACTCAGAGCGCATTACATTTCTAAAGAGAAATGTATGGGCTATAATCATTCTTATGATGATATACAAGGCCTTAATCTGAAAACATGAATTGTAAACATATGACTTTTCTTCTGAGAATTTGAAATGACAATATGAACTTTCTACAGAACTTGGGTGAGGCTTAATTTTGGAAGACATGTTCTCACTATAAGAAAACTATATATTAAACATATATTTAATAATACACACATTATATTTGAATATCACTGTCGGACATTTAAGCTAAAAAGAAACTGAAAGACAACAGATAGTATTTGTACATTTTATTCATCCATGAAAAAAAACTTTTTTATATATATATTTTTACAGGGGTTGTTTCCCCATTGTTGTGCATTTTCACAGTTTTAAATATTTGCCAGAACTGACCCATTTTCAAGTATTGGTGTAAAAGTCAAAGCCAAACAAATGAACACAAAATGCTTTAACTATTTCAGTGTATTTCCAGAAAACAAACCAAACAAAATGAGATACATACATAGTCGCTCATATTATCTTATGTGCTACATTTAGGGTTGTATTTAAACCATTGGACTATGTTAATTTTTGAAGTAAGGAGAACAGCAAGATGAAATGTTCCTAACTTTTCTTTTTCATGAGATGAAACCAAAAGTGGTCTCGAGTGTGAACTTAGAGGTTTTTATTGGTTTAAATAAATGGATGATGATTCACTGATGTCTCATAGGGGTTAAAAAAAGAAGACATAAAGATCTGAAGCAAAGGTAGCAGCCCTCAGAAGAACTGAAACGGCGTGGGTTTAGGAGAGGAGGCTTTCTTTCCCTTGGCACAGCCCTACAAGCTAATAACACAACAACAAAGAATCTTCCACATGGCTACATTTTGCATTTGTGATATTTATCTGGAAATACAAAGACACTAAATATGATAAACAACTGAAAACCTATTAAGTGCCAAGTGTTTTTTTTTTTTTTTTTTTGAGTTCACAAGTCACTCGCAATGTCCTACTGCATAGTTTTGGCTTTGTCCAATTTTGGCACTTTTTGTCCTCCATAGAGTAAACGCACATTGTGCGATTTATTTATTTTCTTCCTGTGGCTTAGTTAAGGAAGCACATAAAGCATCTATGAAGTTCTTCTGCTGTGTGAACATAAAATACACATCGTTAACACATTTATAACAAATTCAGACACACACAGAAGCAAATTAGTGCCCTTTTCCTACAATATAACATGAAATGCTATTAATAATTGACAGGCACCCCACTCAATGACCTCAATGCTTCCATTTCTGTTTCATATTAAAACCTACTCACTCTAGTTTAACAACACAAAAGATACACATGTCACTTCTTGTTTATTAGTAAACAAGTGTGTTTGTGCATATGGCTTTGTTAGCATGTGCATGTGCTCAGACGGTCCACGTGCAGGGCCGATAAATGAGTTCACACTGCCAATGTGACACCGCTGTGACAATCAGATACCACGCCAGGCCTGCCTCTTTCCCCTCAGGGTGTTTGTGTGTTTGCGAGGGCAAGCTCTGTCCCTATTTTATGACAAGGACGTTACCTTCCCTGCACTGTGTGTTTGTGTGAGAGAGACAGCGAGAGAAAGAATCATGACTCAACAACAGCAGAAGCACATCAGTGAAACTCCTCATCCTCCCCAAATCCCTCAAAGGGGATTTAACACACACGCTCACACGCAAACATGTTGTGAATCCTGGCCACCCTGCATGTCAAGGTTTAATTACATTACGTTTAGTCCAACTCAAGTACTATACACAGTGTCCATAGGTCATCGCAAAGACATTACGAGGCAGTCCACGATACAGAAATGGCCCCCCCATACATTAGGTCAAAACATGAGCTGCAGCTTTTTCTGCTGCCTTCAAAACAAACCACAAATTGAAATAACTTGTGGTTGACATCCAAGTTCTGCTTGGCAAATGTCAATGTTATTTTGAGCTGGCTTTAATGTCTAAATGGATTCGGTTTGTTGTCACCTTCATATTCATTCCCCCACTGTCACTCAGCAGTCTACAAGTACATTTTAGGACTTTCACAAGCCCCCCACCCACCCACCTTTGCTATTTGACCTCGGCCAAACCTCACCCGTGACTCTAGCTGGCCCTTGCGTTGCACAGCACGACTCGGCACAGTTCAGTCCATCTAGGGCATGTAACTGTGTCACAGCAGATCTAATTATGACAGCAGTCCCCCAATAGCCTTTTCATTTCCATACTCCTTCTTCCTTCACCACCAATGCCCCGTGACCCAGCCTGGCTCAAAGGCTAGCATGGTTACACATGAACCAAGCCGAGCAGGAGTTAGAATGTAGTTATAATGTGAACAAAGCAGTTTAGCTGGTGGTATCAAATGGACATCATGGCTTGATGTTTGAGCTCTGGTTCAGCTGTTATTATTTAAATTGTGCTGCATTAATCTACATGGTGCTCTGCAGAGCTGACTGAGTGTAAGGTTTCGCTCTCATATTATTGGATTTACGCTCAAAACCATTTCACTCACGATGAAATAAATATTTAGACATTTTGGGAAATGCTTGCTTTCTTGTTGAGTTAGATGAGAAGATTGATATCACTTTCATATCTATATGTTAAATATGAAGCTACTGCCAGGATTAGCTTAGCTTAGTTTAGTATACAGACTGAAAGCCAACTTGTCATTTGTACACTTTGGTCTTTGTATGGATTAAACAAATGAGAAATAGTGTGTTAATTAGTGAGCTTTAGAAGTGCTGGTAGGCTTATTTTGTTACCTTTGGACAGAGCCAGGATAGCTAAGCTAATTGCTGGCTGTAGATTCATATTTTGCATACAAACATGAGAGTGGTATCGATCTTCTCATCTAATTCTCATCAAGAAAGCGAATAAGTGCACGTCCCAAAATGTCGAGCTGTTCCTTTGAAGTCTTGGTAGAAATATCCGTTAAATCACAAAATAATTCAGTTTTGCAATGGTAGGATGCACAGAAAATCTTATAAAGGTTGATGAATGAATGCTCTGAAGTAAGGAGATGCTTATACACTCAAACAGCAGCAGCTTACTGATCTTTGTGAAATACAGACAGATTATTTCTTTGGTTGGAGCCAAAACACAGGGGCTCGCAAGATGTTGGTAACATCTGAAAGTGAAGCAGATAAAAAAGTAAAAAAAAGTATGTATACAGAGAGAACTTTTAAGCAATATTTTGGACTCCCATGATAAGGAGAAAAATAGCCCTGATGCCAAATTCTGCTTTTGAAAGAGTTTTCAGTCTGTAGCTGGAGCCCTTCTCAAACATTAACAGTTGAATCATTTAACATTGGTATTTAGCTGACCAGCGCTGCTCTTGTTTATGCGTGTCGTTGGGTCGTACATTTGCTGGCGGTGAAATAAAGGGAGGCAAGCCCCACATTTCTGCAGCGAGAGCTACAACTGGCAAAGCAGAGAAGTGGGTCATCTATATGCCAACCGAGCAGTAAGGATCAAACTTGCATGCCTCTTGCTCTGCTTTTCAGCCTCGACAGATAAAAACAAGAGAAAGAAGAGTGAAAGGCAGTGGGGGGGAAGGGAGGAGTGGGAGGAAGATCACTGGTGTAGATGAAGATTACAGATTATTGAGCATGAGGGACAAAAACACTGTTAACATGAGAGTCAGGCGTGTTTGGATTTCAATATTACAGAAAGAAAAGGGGTGTTGTTGATTTAAAGGAAGGCAACAATGATGTATACAATGTGTGTAAGATTGTCAGACCAGTGGCTAAAAGACAAAGCAGATACCCTGCTGTTTTTATTCTCCAGTTATTACGAGTCATTTACCCTGTGTGTGACTGCTGAGTAATCAAAGTATTGATTGTTCAGCGTGAGCAATGCAAACACTTAATTACTCACTGTGGCAAGAAAGAGTAGGCCAGACAAGATGGATGAAAAAAAAGAGAAGGGAAGGAAGTGAAAAAGGGGCCCTGAGATGGAGTGATGCAGAGAGAGGAAAACCTGACGCCGAATGCTACAACTGCCTATAAACAGTGAATGAAATGAAGCCAACTGAGAAGTGCTTTTGAGTACTTTTTGCTCAAGTTGTTATTGCACGTTATTGTGTTGAGTGCTATTGACAAGGGTTGGCTTTGCTGATGTTCTCTGTATGTCATCGGTACAGAGCATCTCTTCGGTTGCATAATGCACTTGAAGCACAACTAGTTAGCTCGGTTGTGTGACTGTGTCTATGCGTAATGCTGGTTGTACTCGTGAGACAATACATTTGTCAGGTAAATGCAACTGAACATAAAAGCCTAGACCTCTGACCCCGGGGTCTTCTTCTGTGGTATTGTTCCTGTCCTAAACCCACACTCCAGCACCAACAGTCTGGAAGAGACGGGACACATGAGCAAAATACTGCATTGCACTTTGTTTAAGGCTAAAAAGTTTGCAGTGGAAAGCGATGTAAACTTAAGGCAGCATGGATTGAATGTCTTGCATGTTTTTTTTTTAAAAAGTACTAAAATCTAGTATGTCACCCAATGCAATAAACAACAACAAACAAACAAAATTGAATGCACTCTCTCCCAGCCTATAAATAAAAACACAACTGGTATTCATACTCAAGGTTTGTGCATATCCATGTATGTAGCGTGTGTGCGGACATGGTCATGTAAATACTTAAAACCACCCACACTCACAAACCCCATATCACTTGGCCCAAACAGCCAACATATAAAATTAAAATAAAAAACAAAGAAATTCTTGAGTTCTTCATTTTTGCAATGATTTCATTTAGCACAGTGCGACCCGACCCAGTTTGAAGGTAGAATGGTTGCAGTTTGTTCGTTCCAGTTTTAAAAGTGTGTTCAAGCCCCCACCTCAAAGCAACAGCTGGTCTTTTTCTCAGAGCTGGTTTCGTTGGTCTCTGCCTGTTTTTCTCTCTGTCAGTCTTTTTGAAACATAAGACAGAAGAATATAGAGGCCAAAAAAGAGGGAAAGGGTTAAAGCAGTGAGCGCTGGTGACGAGCAGGAACAAAAGAAAGAGAACAAATAAGAGATGATACTGTTAAGGTATCCAAGGCCAGTCTGGTCAGTGAAACAGGTCAGTATTTGGGTGGGATGACCACTACCGGGCCACCACTCTTTGGCCGCCACATAAGCACCTGGGCGTCATTGGCGTTGGGCTTGACCATGGCGTTAGTAGGGATGGGCTCATTCTTGCCCAGGATCTGGGGCTGTTCCTGGGCTAGGGGCTCATTGAGAACAGCCCTGTGACCAAGAGGTTTCTCTGGGTCCACTCGGATGTGAAGTCGCATCCTCCAGCGGATCGTCTGCAGGACGAGTGTCTCTGAGGTGGCCTGGTTTATGGCCACCAGCCAGGTAGTAAAGCTCTGGTCGCGGTGGATGCTGCTAAGCTGAGGCACGTTGCTGTCGCTGACGGGCACACCCCAGGTCACGCTGGGGTAGAAATTGTCATTCATACTAACAGTGAACTTGCTGTCCTTCTTCGTGGGGCCTACGACGGTGCAGGTTTCTGTGGTGTTGCCATACCAGGGGTAGTTAACCCCATCCGAGTCGCTGATGGCCTGGATCTTGCCATCGCGCAAGTCAGGAAGCTCCCAACTCGACCTGGAAGTTAAAAGGAGTGACAGATGAGGATTTACCCAGAAATGGAGCTCATAGACGTTAAATGATTAAAGGATAATGGCAGTTTTATAACAACTTTGGTCTTTTGATCATAGTTTTGGTATAATAACATTGTATATATCATCATCACTACAACTAAGTCTGACAGGGCAAGAAAGCCAAGTGAACAACTACAATCGAGACAGTTTTTGTTGAAACCACTTCCTTTGGAGGTATGGAGCATATGTGAAATGTTGTGTGTAATTACACAGGAAATGTCATGCATGCACAATAAGTATAGTAAGCCAAAGCTGAAAAAGGAGATTGCCTGTAAACTGTGATGGATCTTTACAGCTGGCAGTATTATTATATTTTTGTATTAAGTTATTTTTTTGGCCTTTTATTGCCTTTATTTGACAGTTACAGCTGAAGATAGACAGGAAGGGGGGTAGAGGGAGAGGGGATGACACGCAGCCAAGGGCCGCAGGTCGGTTTCGAACCCTGGACCGCTGCAGCAAGGACTCAGCCTCGGTTCATGGGTCGCCAGCTCTACCCACTGAGCTAACCCGGCACCCTACTGGCAGTATTTATCATAACTTTTCGATTTGGCTTTGTTTTCTCTTCCAAATAAGTTATATTTCTTGACCAGACTGACAAAAATAAAATAAGTTGTAATAAACCAGAATTATCCTTTAAGTTCATCTCTGGCACACTAAACCAAACCAAAAGATTCCACATGTAAAAAGCTCTCCTATCTAATCCTTTCTGTATACCATACTAATTTGCATCTCAATAGTGTGACAAGTCTCCCTCTTGATATCACTGTACATCTAACAACACATGACAGAAACAAGGAGTTGACTCAAAGCCTCACAGTTGGAGCTTTCCACCAATTTTCAAACTGCTGAGGAAAAATACAATTCTACAATAAAATATTGTGACACACACAGCAGGCGACACCGAACGACTAAAGCGACCTGGTACCCCTGGCCTTTCTACCTATTGATTTTCTGCCTGCAGCAGGAAAAAGATTACCTTTCATTCCCTGAAGCTCAAGGGATCAGCAGGACATAGAAGATAACAGTGTGATCACCAGCCACATGACTTACTGCCTGCTTGGCCTGGCCTCACATTGTGATTTATGTATTCACCCAGGGGGTGAGATTAGCATGTCGGGCTTGATAATAGCTGGTCCTTGTGTGTACAAGTGTGTGCATGCATGCTCTTGTGTGTGCATATGTACATTTCTGTTCTGAACAATCACATAATCCTCTCAACTGGTGCCTCCAAAACAGTTTGCAGCAATTTTCCATTTTGTCATAACGTCCAATACTCTAGAAACAGTGAATATCTGCATCTGATTTTTAGTGGAAAACCTATTTATTATTTATGAGCACATGACTTGATATAAAAATTATAAAGCTTTTCCACTGTGCAGACAGTATGGCCTCAAAAGCACATGTGCAGTTGAACTAACAAGTATTAGTCCATAGCATTTTCCTTCATCTGGAGGTTCTTCCAAACTGGCGTGGCAAAAAAAATATTTTAAATTATACATCAAAAGCAAGAACATACTGTATCAGCAAGCGACAGTGGCATGGTGAGCAGGCGAAGTAGAGTAGCCTGCACTGCACACACATTCAATGTAGAGTCGTCTACCCGCTGAGGAACTTTGATCATGAGTGGGGAAAGCGTTGCAGAGATATGGCTCACTTCCTGTTTGTGTCTTCACTGCCTGCTTTGTCACAACCAAAGGGTCTGCAATAAGTGGTGTAAGTGTTTGTGACAGAATTGCAGGGATGTTAAAAACAATTCACTCAAGAAAATAATAATAATTTTTAAAAAAAGATGGCTAGATTAAAAATGAGTACTCAACTGCCTGGCTCCTGAGCATGTTAGGAGATTGTCAGTTATTATTAATATTGCATGCACTACTACTTGTAACCCAGGGGGTACTTCTGCAGTTATCAGGGAGTACTTGGACAGATTGTGGACTAACAAAACTAATTACAAACATATATCGAATATACAGCCACATATTGAGTGAGCTGTAACATTTGAACACCACAGGTTGTATTGCATGAGAGCAGATAACGGTTGACTAAAAGCGATGGATAAATGGTTGAAATACAGTGGATAGCTAACATTTAAAAGAATATAAATGGTTTAAACAGTTAAAAGTAATCAAACTGTTGAAATAGGCAAGTTTTAAAATAGAAGAAATGCATAAACAGTCTATAGTAGCTAGCAAGCAGATAAATGCTTAAAGTAGACTGCTAATAGTATCTGATAAAGGGTTAGTCACAAGTAATGGGTAAATCCTGTGAGGCTGAACGAAGCCGGAAACCACTGCTGTAGTACTGTATTTGGTTGCAATTTCCTGTACACCTATGACTTTAAACCTGATGAATGAATGATTTAAACCTTGCGTTTTACACATCAAAACTTAAAGCTCCTTACGAAAGGTTTGGCTGACCACATGGTACATAGCATAAGAACCCTGTTGAATAGCCAGACTAAGTGCACCCAAACATCTTCTTTTTTACAATACATTGTGACGATTGCATCAACTTTGCAGAAGAAGCAAGAACTTTTTGACAAAACCTCTAAATTGAAGCTCATTTTACAGGCTGAAATTAAGCAGACTAGACTGGTGGCAGCAGCTCACTTCCTGTTTCTGCAACGTTGCTGCCACAATCACTTCCATGTTGCAGGCAAACAGTTTGGAGTATCAAACTTCTTAGCTATTCTACCAAGAATATTGGCAGTTTTTGTCATTTTAAGAAACATTATAGCCATAAATGCTGTGAACAAACTGTATCAAACTTTTACCACAGATAAATATTTACTTCTATTTTGTTTCACTTATACCACAGTTCCTATTTTAGCACCTTTACATTTTTAGGGCAACACAAGAAGAATAAATACACACACACTGCACAAACCTACAAAACTCACTCTAAAAGACATGGACAACAAACTGGAAGAGAGATGATGAATGTGTCCAGAATCCCAAGCACATCATCCAGAGCCAACAGAGAAATCATCCTCATTACCATCCTCGGCTGTTCTGACCAATTACAGCACGCTGAAGCTTTACTGCCATCAAAGAAACTACTTAGTATGAGAATCTGAGCAGTCGGAGCGGACTCATCTCATGCATCCAAAGAGCGACTTAAAAAATGTACGTCAAGAATGGGTGGCCTTGCTTTGGTCGTGAAGTTTAATGACTTTAATACAATAGTATGCTACAGGGGTAGAAAAAAAGACAGGATTTGCATTAGTAAACACTGCTGCAGAGGTGGGTGGGTGCATTCCAACAACCCTGTATATAGGGTTATACATACTGGATAGTTAACTAAGTAACTAGGATTTACTAAAGGCATTTTTGAGAACTTTATCTTTTAATTTTGAGTTTTTTGGTTGCAATTTGGCAACAGATAACTTAAGAACTACACTAGTTGTCTAATTTTGCCTTAAAGGACCAGTGTGTAGGATTAAGTGGCATTTAGTGGTGAAGGTACAACTCCCTCGCTTTCACCTCCCCTTCAGAAAATGTAGGAGAAACTACGGTGGCTGCGAAACACGCTGGCTTACACGCTGGACCTTTTGTAAAGCACATATTAATTGTGAAAGTGCCGATTACCATCGCTCTTTAATAGCCGACAAAGTGACATTTAACCTAATATGACCCACTTTTATGCCAGCGTTTGTAATTTCAGAATAAAAGTCCTTTTAAGGTCACGCTATTTTGCATTCTGTTCATGCAATCTTTATAGGAATCTTTTACAACTTGATAAATGAGAGGGAAAAGGGCATAATATCGATTATCTGTTCATTCCTCCCTCTACCGTGTTCCAAGTCAAATACAGTACACTAAGATTTAGTCTCCAATTTTATGTTTTGGCCTTCAAAATGAGATCTGTTCTTTATTTTTGTTCATATTATGTTTCAAAATTGCATGTTTTTGAATGTGTTTGTATTCCTTCCTATGGAATCAGTACATCACTATCTAACTAAAAACAGTGTTGCTTGGATTCAAGAGGCAATGACTGTAAATAGAAATGCAGTTTAAAAAAGGCATTGATCACATTGGATTTTTTAGAGAGTAACTGAGGGTTCTCTCACTGTCTCACGTTCTTTCGCTCTCACACCCATATGCAGGGCCATACTGGGGTGGGGGGTGGGGGTGTTGGGGAGGGGACTGTGTCTCTAATCTTAGACTTGCAGCACTCAAACATCCTCAGCTGCAATGTCTGCAGATAAGGCATATTTTGGGTACATGTCATCGTGGTTGTGGTTGCCCGCTACAGGATATAAGATGAACGCTGTTTGTCTAACATTTGTACCAATATCTCACACACACACACACACACACACACACACACACACACACACACACACACAGAAAAAGAGAAAGAAAGGGATGTTTACGACCATACTGTGTCATGAACATATTGTCTTAAAGCTGAATTTGCTCACGTTTGTCTCGTTTATAACCGCCGGTGAAAAATATGTGTATTGACAAGTGGAGGGATCTGAAAGGTCATAGCAATTATTTTCCATCACAATGTCCTGCTCCCATATCTGTCCTGTTTTGAAGTACTTTGTAGCCCGCAGGCATGCAGCCACCAAGCCTGCTGATTGAATATTAAAGTGCCCTTACAGACAAGTCCATTTATTTTACTTTTCTATAAATCTAATACCTGAACGCAGATGTTAACGTGTAATGTGCTGATTACATGGCGCAGTGATGCTGGCAGCCCGGATGCAACCACAGACATGTTTCACTACTTCAAAAACTTTTCCACAGAAGAGCATTATTTGTCATTTGTGTAATACAGAAACGGGAAATAAAAGTTCTCTTTCGGTGGTTGACACCGACTCTTTCAGTTACTCTGTCCATTAAGAGTTTGGCAGTGTTTAAGTTGGGTTTCTTTTTTGAAGTCCAATCTAGTTTAAATGCATCTTATTCTATTATCAGAAACAGTTTATTGTCGGATTTGTTGGCCTAAAATCTTTCAACTTTAACTTGTCCATGTAGTTCTCTATTTTGGGTGACAGCACTTCCCCAAAAAGTGTCTTAAGTGATCTCTTGTAGTTGGATGTTATTTATAAAATATATGTTAAAGTGCTTAATGTTCCAAAAGACAACATAACCATTCACTTGTGTTAATTAGAGCTCAAACCCTTAATTGATTAATATACTAGTCAACAGAAAATTAATCTGCAACCATTTTTCAAACAAAAAAGAAAGAAAGAAAGAAAGAAAGAAAGAAAGAAAGAAAGAAAAAGTTATTCATTCACAGGTTTCAGTTTTTTGCTGCTGTTTGTCACACAGTGAACTGAATTTGGGGACTTTTGGTCAGAAAAAAACAAGGGCTTTAGCAGTAATCAAAGGGCTTTATCCATCAGTGTTGGTGTTAAATATTCCCCACTTAAAGCATACTTATATTCCTCATCCATCCCTCCTAAAGTCTCAACCAAATGTGCTCAACAACCACAGTGAAACAGAGCCCATGATACTCACATCCCTTTGTTTCCATACGTATTGTAGAACTCCATGTGGTTACAAGCTTGAATCCAGCCGATGGTCCATGTCTCTTTAGTGGCTACTGGCGGCACCAGGACCCGGGCACAAGCTCGGAAGTGCGGTGTCCGGTAGCGCAGGACCACGCTGGATGACTCGTCGATGCTGGTGGGGTTGGGGTCGATGGAACTATTCACCTCCAGGACGATGATACTGTCTCGGAAACTCTTAGGCTTACACCTGATACTCTGGATACAGCCCATTGCATTAAATAGCAACACAATCCACAACAACGTCCAGAGGTCTGGAGGAGGAGAAAGACGCATGGAAAAAGCAAGAAAATCACCACAGTTGGATCCACATCATGCTCTTCCAAAAAAAAAAAAAAAAAAATTCAAAAGTGTTTATTTATAGCAGACTGTCTCATAAAAAAAAAGCCATGCATCTTTGATTCAAAACTACTCTCAGAAAAGGAGAAGATGAAGAAAAAGACAGGCCTAGAAAATCCTTATATTTGTAGAGCGCATGCTTTCCGGTGCGTAAACGTAACTTCACCAAACAGGCGCAGGTATACAATAACTTTTCCTTATCCGTGCACTCATGTTGTCATGCTGTCATGTTACAAATCATTGCCTTCTTAAATGCACAGTTATCGCAAAAGGATTTGACCTTTTGGCAACGTGCATCCATTTGGTAAGGTGTGTGTAAAAAAAAAAAAAAAGGTTCAAGTTAATTATGAGCTAAATAATTAACAAAAAACTGCTAATGTTACATTTTGGCGTCAAATTCTCTCTCGTGTGATTTTTTTTTTTTTTTGTATGTCAGTAACAAAGCTAATCCCTGGACTATCCAATGGCCAGAGCTCTTTGGTCCAGCTGGTGACAAGAATCATAATGAAAAAAATGTTGTGCTGGACAGTTGTGGCAGCTCAAGAGGTGAAGCTCACATTATGTTGAGCAGCCTGGGTGTCCATTCAATCCGCAATACAGCCTCAATCTAATAAAAAAAAGTCTAATTTAACGGTTTAACAGCGAGTGTTTTACACATGTGCAGATTAATGGCTCATGCTGTGCAACTGCAAGAATTGTGGTCTATTTTTAGCCGACAAAAAACCAAAAAACAACAACATGCAAACAAAAACAAACAAAAAAAGAAGTCTACCTATAAAACAATTCACTGGAAAGTCTCCAGTGTCTTCGGCAGGGGCGAGATCCTGGAGAGATTCAGAGTGAACGGCGGCTCGCACAGTTCTCCGGTCAGAGAGGTAATTCCGTTATCTCCCCGCACTGCCCGCTCCCGTTATTATTTCTCCCCCCGCCGCCGGTATCTGCAAATGACTTCACGTCCCGCGGAGACAGTAAAAGGTAGCGTTTTCCACAAGATCCCCGAAATCTAGTCGAGTTTGAGTCGGAGCGCCGCAACATCCAGAGGACACCGCCGGGTCAACTTTAGCACCCATTTGACCGGATCCATTCCTTTTTTTTTTGGGTGGGGGGGGGGATTTTAAAAATAAATAAAAACACACACAACGCCTCTGGAGGGGGAGAATTGTCAGCTGTCACATAGTTCGGACCGAGCCGACAGTTGCGGTCCCTGTCTGTGATGAGATGCGGTTCAGCCTATATTCCCGCACGGGCTGTCATTGCTCCGCGCTCGTCCCATCGCCGCCACGGCAGGTTCACCCCGCTACGCATTGGTCTATCTCGGCTGCCAGGGAAGCGGCTTTATAAGTACCTTTTTGAGACGACACTTCCGGTCTGGGCGGGAGGCATGCCGGGAGATGTAGGCACATGCGATTTCTGTCGGAAACTATTAGTGAATAGACTGCAGTGTGATATTAAAAGAGGAAAGGGGTTGTTGTTGTTTTTTGGTGGTGTTGGTGTTATTATTCATAACAATAATGAGAATTAAAATTTTCAATTATTATAGAGTTGTAGTAGCGTATTCTACTGATTAAATACTAGTATTCCTTCCAGGTTTTAACTTAGAAATGAATTCATAAAAACTTAATAATAGTAGGCTATTAACTTAACTTATGATATTAATCTATTCGGTTATTTTTTGTTTAGACCATCCTGTTTTGCCTATATAATTGTACATGTGGATGGTTTCGATCTAATAATAAAATGTAGCCTAATAATAAGCTGTCATTTAGCTTCAGCATTATCAACATTCATGCTTATGTTTATGTTTATTTTAATTTTAATTTCTTAAAGTGCTTTCCGGGCCGGTCAGATTGCTGTAACCAGTGATAAGTAATCAATAATCAGTACTGTCTATCATATTTGGTTCCGTGGGGAGGGGTCTTTTGTTCCTATGTCATGTGAAAGGGAGGCTAAGTCAAAAGCTCTTCTCTGTAGGCCTACTTATAAGTATTTTATTTTGTAGACTGTTATCTTTTAAGTAATCCAAACACTTATTTTGTTTTAGTCATTTATTTATTGATTTATTTACTTTCTATTCACAAGCATTTTGAAACTCCTTGTGTCCCCGTTAAAAGCCGGCACGCTCCGCTCCTCCGGTCCTCCGCTCCCTGCCGCTGTCTGTTTAAGCACCTTGGAGAACTCCGCTCCGCAGCGCAGCGGAGCGCAGATGGCGAATCGGAAACGTGCGTAATCTACGTCGAATCCGGAAGAACCAAATGCTGCACTGACTGGGGCTGCCTTGTCTGCACCCTTTGTTGACGATGCTGGCAGGTTATTAACCGTTTCAGCTTTGGCCTGCGTCGCTTTAAACTACAGTCTCCCCCCCCTTTCCTCCCATCCTCCCCTTCTTCCTCGCTGCCAGGAGATCCGGGGTGCTATGGAGGCTGCAGGGGACATTTAGAGTGATGCTTTGTGGCTCATATTCATCATTCGCCTGGTAAGATGACAACACCGTGTCTTGCGTATCTCTTGCACATTCTCGGCTGTTTTTCACAGCAGCAGCAGCAGCACGCAGTAAAGCACCTGTTAGCCGTGTGGTTGTGCCATGTTGTGGCGTAACAAGATGCTCATGTTGTTATTTTATCTCCATGCTGTAGATCGGGTTTCACTGGATTGGCCGAGGCGCATGCCATTCAATACACACACTGCCCTGCGTGCATGGGTCGCGGTATAAACAGCATGGCCATCGCACATTCCACTGGGTCTAAATATATTTATTAAGGCCACAGGAGGGGGAGGACTGGTGTTGGAGGTGGGGGTGGTGTGGTGGGGGGGGGGGGGGGGGGGTTTATCCTGGGACATTTCACTGTCGTGGTGGACTCGCACCACTTGAATCATCTTTCCGGAGATTGACAATCGGTTGTTGCACCCACAGAGGAGAAATTGGCCCTATCCAAACATGCCCTCGAGTTACAATGCGAGATCCAGGGCGCGGGAGAGAAACAGCGTCCTGAGCAGACCTGAGTTCATGTCCCTGAACCAGCCCCTCCGCGGCGGCGGCGGCGGCGGCGGCGGTACCAGTGGCGGCGGCGGCGGCGGCGGCGGCGCTGGGCCGTCCGGAGAGCCGAGGCAGCGCAAGGAGACCTGGTCAAATAAAGCACCAAACGAGCCAGCCAAGCGAGGAGCCGACCGACAGCGGCAGCAAGGACAAGAGGGAGCCCGGCAGACTGCCAGAGGAAGACTGTATGCAGCTGAACCCTTCATTCAAGGGAATAGCGATGAACTCCCTCCTCGCAATTGACATCTGTCTGTCCAAGCGCATGGGGGTGTGCGCGTACACGTCGTCCTCCTGGGGAGGCTGCCGCTCCATGGTCACCCTGTTAGCGCTTACGGGACACGGCATCACGTGGATCATTGGTACTATTGTGTGTCTCACGAGGAGTAACACTCTGGCAGGGCAAGAAGTCCTGGTGAACCTGCTGCTTGGTAAATGGCGCACCACACTCACCAACAACCAGCCCTTCAATACCCAGAATGCACCATACAGGAGAGGCCAGCCAGTCAATGACATGCACTCACTATCTTCTCTTGAAACTGATTCACATAAGGTCTTTGTCAAAACTGGCAAAGGTTGACTTTGCACCCGGTCTCACCTGTGAGATCAGTCAGCTGTGCCATTCTCCACTGTATGTAATTACAAACATTACACAGATCCCAGTTACATTTCCAAAATACATTCCAGTTTTAAAATCGTACATACACTTGTGACATGCAAAAGTGTGGGTAATATTTTCTGATGAGGCATATACTTTTATAAAGGTTTATATAGTTTTTAATTTTAATGATGATTGTTTTAATACTTGATTGATCATGGGATGAAAAGAGGATCTTAACAACATTACAACTGTAAAATAGAAAGCATTCATTCAATGATTTATTAACCAATTTAAGGCCATTAGCTCAAACTTATAAATACTTCAGCTCTGGTATGAGTTATTAGAGAGTGGTACCAGGTTATGTTTTCAAAGTCATACACAAACACAAAGTTTTTGTTATTATCAGTGAAACATTCTAAATGTATTGCTGATTGTCCCTCAGCAGCAGAAAAGACAACAAGTCAACATGATGTGTTAGCAGGGAGTGTTTCCATCTTGCAGTTTTTCTGTCTATTCAGTGTTTATTTGAAGAGCGACTCACAGGTTGAAGAGCCCAGTGAATCAGTTTCTAGGAAAATGAGAGAGTGGCCAAGTAAGGTTAATCTTAACATTAATAAATATGGATCCCAGTGGTAGTTTTGACACTGAAGAGATTGAAAATGCTTATCCATATGCATCTGATGGACCACAGCCTTATAATTATGAGCCTGCCAGGCGTCTTAAGAGACCAGGAACAGACGAGGATTAAAAAAAATAAGGAAAGAAATTAAGTTGTGGAGAACAGGGCAGGTGGTGAGTGACCGGCGATAGCTAAAGCGTTCACATCACAACGGGCTGTGACGTAGTGGTAAAAGGAGAGAGAGAGAGAGAGAGAGACTGTTTCCTGACAAACTTATTGTTTAATAGGTCCTTGTGTGGAAAATGTTAACGGTTTTAGCCACAGAGACTATGTGCTGCAGGGAGGTGGATGCCCTCTGGGTTCTGGGGGAGATTCTCACCCCCAGACCTGACATAACATACCTGACACTGCACCCAGGCTTTGAAGCATGCTGTCTGAATATCTCTGTGCTACAGACCGCCGACATGAGCTTCAGGAGCACCGCCCTCTCCAGGCCAGCAGACATGAGTATGTTTAGAGCAGAAATAGTCTCTGAATTAAAGAAGAGAAAATCAATTGACCCATTTAAAATTTATCTCAATTATCACCATCTCATGAGCTTATGTTCACTTACTGTTGATATGTGTCAGCGAGGTGTTGATTTAACTAAGTATTATGAGTTACACCTTACCATTATATACAATATAATACAATCTAACTCAGAATGGCAAATATATGCAAAGGTAGTTTTGCAATGCTGAGTTGTATTAGATTGTGTCATGATAGTTGATCATCCCCCAAATATATCCAGACAATAGTCAACATTTATTTATGCAGTAAAGAGCAGACTACATGAGATAAAATTCTCTGTGAGTGTGTGAGTGAGTGAGAGAGTGAGAGAGAGAGAGAGAGCGCGGCAAATGCACATGTACACACATGACCCAAACACAGATTATCGACCAAAAAGCAGGACAAATCTCCTGGCTGTAGCTACATTGAGTCCTGATTGGAAGCCAGTAAATCTCTGGATTTGGGACACTGTTGTATTGTGTTTGAGACATTGTTCAGCCCCAAATGCTTGTCGGTGCAGGATAATTTCTCGTCTATTGAGGTCTGTCAGGAGAAAATCTACAAACGTACTGAACAGTGGGTAGGGAATTAATATTTAATGCTGGCTGAAATTGTTTTGTTTTCATCTAACAGGAAAGTAATCAGCCGAGACTGGCCTGTCAGGATTGGTTTGATTCAGTCCACTGTCATGTGTGTATGAACTGCACAGTGCAAAAATATTTCCCATATATTGTTTTGAAAACAAAGTTTTAGTCGCACAATGACTGGGACTGTCTGAAAAGACTGCTGAGCATGTGAGAGACCTTGACTGTACAGAAGATGTTCCCATCCTTATCAACTGCAGTGCAGCTCTGCTTTGGCCGGTTTCTTCTTTGTGTAGTTCTCAAAGAATCCATGTTTATATATCATGCACAGTTCTTTTTTAACATTTGTTCAAAGAGGAAAGGTGTAGGTAATTTGTTGATGGTTAAGGCAAGTAATCAACCTATGCAAGAAGGATGTCCTTACACTGAATGATTTATTCTTTATATTCAGTTTCAATATTCTTTAGTTGGAGAGTGAAACACAGAACTAGTTCAAGCATTAAAACTGAAAAAAAACACACATAAAACCCCAAAAGCTCCCATTTTAATGGCAACTATGCTTTTATTTTGTTTAATTTTAATTTGAGTTTTCTAACACATGCTTTTAATGCATGTTACATCAGTTGCCACAGATTTGTACTTTAAAAATCCCTTCTTTGTAAAATTGTGTCCAGTTCAAAAAATATTTAAAAACACCATAATCAATATGTTTCAATTAACGAATCATATATCTAGTTGTATGTGAAAGAAAATTACTCATAGTGACACAACTACAGAGAATTATCTCTGCAGCTTTGTAGGAGCTTTTTCACTTATTTTGGTGATTGTTTTTTCACTACTCTATACTGTTCTATGTATTCTACTAGTTTTGCGCAACTAGCTGGTGAACATAGTCATTTAGTGGGTAAAGAGACAGATCTTATGCTCAGGAGTTGGTGGAGACCAAATTAGAGCTAAAAGGAGAGTGAATAATCGACTTACATTTATCTGATGAACACACACAACTCCAAATAATCCTAATGTTTTTTCATATCTGCTGGCTGTGTAAATTTTCTTTGACCCCAAGTGACCAAGAAGTCATTAATTGCAGGTTTAAATAGACTTTTGTGGTAGGATTGTCATATTAAATGCACTGAACTTTTGTATTGCCATAGAAACTAGAGAGGTGTGCTGCATCTCAGTTTGGGACGCGGAATCCTTCTTTGGGATTCAATCGAAAAAGTTTTTAATAGTCTTTTTAATCATCTATTTTTATATTCTTTTGTAGCCTTTATAAAGGGTCCAGTATGTGCTGGGCAGTGTTGACCCTGATGTGGAGTGGTTTGCTGGCTACATTAGTCAATTAGAGTAAGTAACAGACTGACCTTTGCTTAGTATAAAGTGTTGTTCTAGTACTCCTTCAGCTTAGCTTGGTAGTGTGAGTAACAGTTGGCATTGTGGGAATTATTCACAAGGCAAGTTGATCTGTGGCAGCCGGAGTTCATCACCCAGGATTTAACTCATTGATGGAGAGCAGGTTGGCTTCTCAAAACAGTTTTTGTGTGATCAATAACTGTATGCTGACAGACTGGGTGTTGATTTCAAATGTGTTTTTACTCTGCGCTGACTGCAGTTGTGCTGATGATGTTTCACAGCCAAGAGCACTGAGAAACTCTCCACAGGAACAGCACTGCAGAACAAAAATCCTGACTGGGAAGAAGGAGTCACACAGTGTGCCAGCCCAAAATTCAAGAGGGTACATTTGCAATTTGTTCTGGGGGGGAAAAAAAACACAGTTTTGTACAATAATGCCCAGATTCCTTTAATGTGTTGATGATACCAAAAAAAAACCAAACTGAATTGTCACTGTTGGGCAGCACAAACAGGCTTATCCTTACAGCGGATAATATGATGCTTTGCTTGGCTCACCTTCCTCCCTTTAGTACTTCTGAGACTGCCAGAGGACACTGCGGGGCAAACAGCACAACTGTCCTCTCTCACATTTCACCAATTAATTTAGCTCCTGTCCTGAACAGTTTTTACTTTTCGCAAGCCTGCCCGTCTCTCTTTTCTTCCTTCCTCTCTTCCTCTAGCATTCAGATCGGTTTTCCTATTGAACATGAACATGGCCTCACCTCACTAGCCTGCCTTTAAGGAGCTGGAATAGAAGTTTAAAATAATGGCCCCGTTAGGACAGTGAGTGGGCGACTGGAATGAGAAGTAGGGCAGCATAACCAATATGTCAGACAACTGACAGTTATTTAGCGCAGGACTGGTTGAGTGTGTGTGAAGATGGCAGACTTGAACTGAAGTTAAAGATGGCGATGGTAGGGATATTTTTGGGAGTGCTGTGGAGCTATAAAAGGCATTTGCAAATGTCTGGTATGTGGACTCAAAGCAAATGCTACCAGTATTGTATGCCTTATTGGTTATTCTTGGTCACCAGCATATCTTTTAACATGTGTACAATAGTTTTCTGCTTTATTTTAGTACTGACAGTATTACCGGTATATAAAAGCACACTGTTCCACTGTGACAGTGTTACTTGTATCTGTTAATTATCTGCATTTTACTTATTATCACTATTGTTCTCATCTAGTATTGTTTACAGATTTAACAAGTGTACTTAACTAAAAGCTAACATCAACATGCTAACACGCTGAGAGATTATATAATGTTAACCATGTTCGCAAAGTTATTACAATACATATGAATGGGTTTACCAAATGTCCATCCATTAGCTGTTGGGACATTTAACAAAAAATCTATAAAAACATGCACTGTACATGATTTTGCATCCAATAATTGTTATAATATTTTAGTTTGTAGCAAACACTAGCATGGCTAAAAACACACTACTGGAGTGGTGCTAAGATATGCAAATTAGCTCTTCACATTAAAAGTTCAGTGGTACAATAATGGTACTCAGTTATGGAGATTTCACTGCCCTCATTAAAGTTCATTTGCCACATTGTTTTAAATGGGAACACTTTAATTATGACAGTGGTTGATCAGGAGCACTAAGGTGTACCAGTATAAATCCGAGGCACAATATGATTAACAGTTTTTTTTTCTTTCTTTTTTCTATCTTTTCTATAATTTTGCCTTTTCCCCAAGAGGTAGTGGATACTTTCACCTCTTTAAGCCTCTAAAACCCTTTTTAAATTAGACAGTCGGAAGAGTAAAAACCCCTCTTTGATTGAACTTCTGTGAGGGGTCACAGACATTACCCCAAGCCTCAGGGCTTATTAATTGAACACACATTTCGGATGTGGTTATGGGGATGACTCGACCAACAAATAATTATAGTGCATAACTTCAGTTCAGTGAAATAAAAAGTTCAATTTTGAGATTAATACATTTAGTTAACAGCTATTGTTACTTTTTACTTTTCAGATTAAGATTTTACATAAAAAGAGCAAAACATTAGGAAGTTTTAGAAAATCTGATGGATTATAATGGATTGAAGCAGTGTTCCCGGCCTTTTTGCCAGCTAAATAAGCTCATTGTCACGTTTCAGCAGTCTGTAAGGCTTTGTAGTTGCACCTTTTTAGAGTGATCTCCCTTCTAAACGTCTAAATTTGTGTAGCAGAACTTGTTCATTCCTTCCTCTTTAATCATTTCACAATCTTTCAGATATATCTGCTTACATGTTAATGCATCAGTATTGACAACCATATATAATAATAAAATTACTCACAGGGACCATTTTTATGCACAATGAATACTTTTACTCTCATAATCTAAGTGTTGATACTTCTGTGTTTTTAAGTAGAATTATAAGCTAAGGACAATTGTTGTCTAGGTTATAACATGTCAACGTAGTTGTTTTCACTTTATAATCTAATTCCCTTTTTCATCACAGCCCTCATTCTTGATGTCATGACTGTGGCCGGAGTCCAGAGGCTGGTGAAGCGCAGGGGACCCTGGGAGATGACGCCAGGCTTCCTGGACTGCATCGCCATGGACATCTACTCCTTCCCCGCCGCCCATGCCAGCCGAGCCGCCATGGTCTCCAAGTTTCTGCTGTCCCACCTGGTCTTAGCTGTGCCACTTCGCATCCTGTTGGTGCTGTGGGCCTTCTTGGTGGGCGTGTCCCGCGTGCTGCTGGGCAAACACCACCTAACTGATATGGTGTGTGGCTTTGCGCTGGGCATGCTCCACTTCAGCTTGATGGAGACGGTGTGGCTTTCATCAAGCACCTGTCAGACTATTATTTCCATAAGCACGCTCAGCTGGAGCCCTTTTTTCTGAGCTTTTGATATACGGCTATGCTAGCACACAAGGCTTGTTTGATACACTAACCTCGCAATGACTGGGTCTTGTGAAGTTATTTTTGCAAGGGTCTGAAGTTCTTATCGCAGGGTTCGAACCGAGAAGCATTTATATTCGAAATCAGATGCTGGCTTGCATGTAACGCCCAAAACAGGCAGGTCACAGTACCTTACAAAACCTTCATAATGCTTCACCAATCCTTGCATCTTCAGTCAAATCTATTAACACACACCTCTGTTCCTCCTTAATTTCAATTAAGTCCTACTAATAAAGGGAAAAACCAAGACAACATACAAACTGACAATGATCTGGTGAAAACGAACATGTAAGATTAAGGTTTTTGATTTTTCTTTAGAGATTTATCTTTATTTAGAGTAGATTTATCTTTATTTAGAGTTTTGATTCTCATACAGTATGAACGCTGGTTCCATTCATCCATAACTGAACCTATTTCTATTCAACAAATTCTCTCTTGACTCTGTGTGCCTCTTTCTCTTTATCATCTGAGTTCCCTTTACTTCCTCCTTCTCTGTTACCTCTTCCTCTTTCTCACAATTTTTTTTTCATATATATATTTGTGCTTTTATGTTTGGATAGTTAAGTACTTAAACCATGTTGAACACTGAATAGAGATTGGTGTAAGGCTGTAATATTGGATGTATTACTAACATAAATAAAGTGTTGTTTGGATATTCCACATTGTTCCTCATTGGCATGACTAATGATATGTTTGTATATTTCTGATGGGATTCTGTTCTTTTTACTGTATGTTTACCAAATATGAACTTATTTTTGATGCCGCTGAATTTGATATTTTTCTTACGGGGTCAAATATAATTTCCTTCAACATGCCATTTATGCTTTAATGAGTTAAAATCTTTTCTTTTTTTATAGCTGATTTTTCTCTCTAGCTCTATAATTTCAGGCTACTGATGCATATGGTTTGTCAGTGATACTGATTCTGTGCCCCACAAAACAACTTTTGAATAAATTCTACCTTTCTTTTCTGAATTTTTTTTTTTTATTATTGACCTTTGAATTAAACCTGCTGGGGTTTTTTGTGGCAAACATTTCATTGCATTGGTTTGGTGTGTAAATACAGTTTTGTGTACATGCGTTTCCTCTGTTCTGTACAAGGATCTGTATTTCATGTTTTTACCTTGTTTCTCCATCTTAGTAATAAAACGAGGTGGGCTGTCAGTAAAATATGGATGCCTTTGTGTTTTTATTATTTTTATTAAATGTGTCAAAATGAGTCCCTACTAGAATGAGAAAAACACCATTTAACATGATTTGATGAACCATGTTCACAAATCAGCTGAATCCTATAGGAAGCCTAACTGCCTATATATAAGTGCGCAACAAATTGTTTTGATTGCTTCAAACATCACATGGACTGTAAGGCATCACATGGTGCACTGGCTGTTCAGTAAAAGAATAAAGAAGTGTGGTCTTTTGAAACCCTAAGTGATGAGACAGCTAAGACATGGTCATTATACTATTTCCGGCAGTGGTAAGCTGTAGAAAAAAAGCACTCTATGGTGAGACGTTAAAGGCTAGAACTCGAAATCCATCTGACGCGTGGCTTTCCTCTCACCTTTAAAATACATTCTCACAGTTATCTCATTGATTTTTGGTGGTTTTCTATGTCTTATATTTATCAGTTGTAATGCAGCTGCACTGTTGCAAGAGTGCTCTGTGTAGCATGCAAAGTAGGGGTTCACTTGACATTAAGCTTGGAATGTTTGTTCTCAACAAATAGTGTTTTCCGATTAACTGCATTAATATAATTTTAGACCAAATTGTGTACTTAAGGCTGTGTCTTTACGGCCTCTGACACTAGTTTCCTGTCACATTATTCTTACCACAGACAAATCTGACAGGAAACAACACCAATGCAATGGTGCATGCTCTGAAACAGTTCATTTAGGAGGAACAGAAACTGCTTTCTGGCAGAGATCCTGGGGTTAAGAGATTTCATTGTTATTTATCTGGTTATATGTGCATTGACAGACTTCAGAAAAAGTTCTGAAGCACATTTGGAGCAAATGTCTCTTGATTTAAAAACAAGTTTCGGTTGAGCGGTGGAGCAGAGACAGAAACACTGCAGACAAGACAGAAACGTGTCCTTAATAATAACCCTTTATCGGCTCAAAGTTTGAAAAGTGTGGAGGAGAAGAGGTGCCTGTCCTAAAAATGTGTGACGCTCAGTGACAGCAAGATGCAGTGTCATAAAACAACATTCGAGCAACACGGCTTTGGGAACTAATCAACAGATTTCCCTGATTGTTCTTGTTTATGAATGCCACCGTTAGGACAAAGTTCCCACATAAACCCAATCAATATCAATATGTATGCACACAAAGAGATAGAGGATAATTTACAGAAAGAGGACGGGATAGTTCCCAAGCTGCATTAGGCTAGCTTGGCACCATGGTATATGAGGTTTCTCAAGGTGAAATAAAAGTTATATCAGTACAGCTTTCCTCAGATCATTTGCTGTCACACGTATTAAGTCATTGGTTCATATAGGATGATTAGCTTTCTGTAGCAAAACACATGCAACATCACCAAATTACAGCGTGTCATACTGCAGGTTTGTTTGATTTCAAGGCCTCTATAACGCTGCGTAGCATGTACCCAAAATATCCCTGTGAGAAAGCGCTGATAGTGCTTGCAGGCCTGTTTCCACAGGGTCTACGTACACTGACGAAGCAGACACCACACGTCCAACTGTTGTGTCTTTGCTCTGTTCGTGTGCAGCTCTGGGTTACGTATAAAATAGATAGAAGAAACATTAGACACCACAACTGTAGGTGTCACTGACACTGCGGGCTGCAGGTATGTGTCTCTGAGCGTGTTGCAATGCCAAACAAGTATTCTGGTGATTGTCAGTGACATTTGCATTTTATATTTGGGATTTTCGCTGGGATAAAAACTACTGTTTAATGGATAGATCACCCCTGGCAGCCCTGCAGGCTAATGAAAACATTTATCTGACTGACTGTCAGACTGCAAAATAGTGAAAATGAAAACTCCCAAGAAACTGGATTGGGCCAAGCTGTTGAAAGTCAATTATGTGTTTATGTGTGGCACGCTACAAACAGACTCAAAGTTAATTATTACGTGATAATTCGGGTTAATCTATTTTTTTAAATTATTATTTCTAGTTTAAATCTGTACAATATAAATTTATGTGACTTTGTGATTTTTCTGTACACTTTTTCAGGATGAGTAAAACCAATATTGCAGACTTCATGTGAATTTTAATAAAGCATACATGAGCTGAGGGATCAGTGGGAGATGTGTGCAGCCTTTTGAAACAAATGGTTGAAGAAGGGTAAGACAAGTGCTCCCTCTAGAGGAATCTTCAGGAAGCAGTTTCATCTGACTAATATGAACACTGGCAATGTCCTGGAAGGGTAATACACCTATTGTTTTCAGTGACAGTTACCTGGCATTAGCGTACTTGCTGTTAGAAAAAGGAGCAAACCCCTTGTAATGTCACCTTATTTAATATGACTGTGAAAAACAGCCTATTAATTAAAAAATGCAGAATGCAGAAAGAAAGATCATTAACTGATTGATTTGATCACTGTCAGTGTTTTAAGGCTTTGCCACCTCAACCAGGTGAGCTACCAGGGCCCCCGATGTACTAAGGCTGAGTCCTTACCGTAAGGGCCCAGCTTCAATTCCAACCTGCAACCCTTTGCTGCATGTCATCTCCTCTCTCTCCCTCTACCTTCCTGTCACTCTTGAGCTGCTCTATCAAAGTATTTAAAGTGTTTCAATGGAATAGTAGACACATTTTCAGGAAGAGATCAGTAGAATCTGTCATACCCAGAATGAGATCAAAGCCAGGATATGACTCAAACCCTGTACTAATATGAATGCAAACAATCCCTCTGACATAGCTGGGTTCACTGTTAGGCTCTTTACTGTCATTGGGAGAAAGGCTTATTTCAGAGTTGTATATAATTCAAAATATATACATCACATTTTAATGCACTGTTGTTATTTTAAAACTGATCACTGATGAATCAGACTTAATAAGGGAAAGCCCATCACATACCATCCACAGACAAGTTTGTTTGTTTTAATTCATTATTTTGTCACATGCAAAATTGTACAGAAATTTGAACTTTGTGGAAAACAAAATTTACTTTTTTAGGAGGATGCAACAATTGGCCAACAGTTTACCAAGAAGAGGGTGTGCACTAGATCTCAGATTAATCTCTTTTTATGATTCCTGAAATTAGTCATTCCTTGGTCATGGGAGATGGAAGTATCAACACTGTGAATAAATGACAGCAATGCATGTAATACAACTTTCTGAGACAGTGGATATTGAAACATGTTCTAGTCTGATGAGCTTTATAGACTTGTTGCTTTAGTGTGTCTGTTCTCCTCCTTTCCTCTACCATAGAGTGTCTGCTTTACCTCTGTCACATCAAACTATGTTATAAAAAGGCTGCAGTGTGTGGGTTGCACCATGCCACAAAATAATTTCCTACATGCACATTAATTAGTATTAGACCTTTACTGTATATCATAGCCCTTTCTAGCCTATATTTTCTGCTAAATGACTGCTGTATATATATATATTTTTGTCCTGTTAAATCATTTATTTTCTGCTGTAACATGTGCAATATTCTATAGCAGTCACATCTGTATACAAGATGAGATAAGATGTACCTTTATTGACCCCCCGTGGGCGATCATCATTAGACACAGCAGCATAAGGGAATGTAGTGCGAGAGTACAGAAGTGGAAGTACAAACTGTGTTTAATAATAATAATAAAATAAAGTTTATTGTTTATTTTTTCTTATCTGCTGTGTTGTATCTGGAGTTGCTGTAACAAGTGAATTTCCCCAGTGTGGGATCAATAAAGTCTATCTTATTTAATGCTAAAAGTGCCTTGATTACTTGCTGCATGCTGTGAGTTTTTGTGAATGGATGAATGACAGGCAAATTATATATTCATTTGAATAAATGTGCAATATAAATGCAGACCATTTACCAAGGCCTTATTGAGGAGAGGACAGAGAGAGAGATATTATTTATTGATCAGTTTTGTGGGTGTAACAGACATATGATATCTGAAGTAGCCCACTCATTAAAGTTAACACCCGAGAAGCTGACTATGTCCTACCCTGCTGTATCTACCTCGTTAGCTAATCACGGGTGCTCACTATTTGATCTAATATAATATAAGATAAGAAAAGATAGACTTTATTGATCCCATACTGGGGGAATTTACTTGCTACAGCAGCTCTAGATACAACACAACAGATAAGAAAAATAAACATTAATTAAAAAATAGAATAGAAAAAACACAAGATTTAATAAAAATAGAAAAAATAGAATAAGAGTTGTACACTAAATACAGCTTTTATACAGATGTGATTGATATGGAATATTGCACAGGTTCCAGCAGGAGGTAGTGGCATGGTGTAAAAATAAATATTTTTTTAATTTAAAATAAAAAAAAGATATGTATAGCAGTAACTTAGCGGAAAATATAATCTATATAAATATAAATATGTATGTGAGACTAATAATGCAAGAAGTGTATTAAATAGTGCAAAAAGTGACTGTGATAAGTGTTGATAAGGTGTTACAGAGACAAACAATGTACATTAACATTAAACAATAATCAGTAATATGACGCTATTGTCTTAATTAATTGCCAATACGCCTGTGATTTCTATTTTTAGTTTTATAGCAGTGACATTTACTGCGGTTTGTTTTGCAGTCTTATAGCCATAAAAAAAAAAAATCATCAATGCCCCAAAAAAAAAAAAAAAAAAGGGATGGGGGAGGGTGTGTTTGCTGAAATCGACCAGCAGGGGCGCTTGTTTACGTTCCCCTGCCAACGTCGTTTGGTGACGTAAGACGCTCTCAGGCGAGCCGATCCAGCCTACACACAGCCCTGTTCATTTCCAGGCCGGGTAGGACCCCAGCAACAACACTGCGATCGGTTCAACCTGTGAAGATTGGGCTTTACAATCGCCATCCATCCTTTGATTAGACAACATTTTGTGGAAATATATCACTGTCATTGATCAGAAGGTACACTAAGTCGTTGAATCGGTGAGTTATGGATGCGGATGGCGGTGTCAAAATCTCCAGTTTTGCCTGTCTTTCTCCGCTGCCTAGTTTTATTGTTGCTTTGTTCTGTGCAGCAGCCATTTTTAATCGCCTTGTCCTACATTCCCATCCCTGTCGTCCGACCGTTGAGAAAGCGGAGAAAGGTTGAAAATGTTAGCACGGGTCTAAGTGTATTATAGATATCTCCCACAGAACAACAGTGTTTAGTAACGTCAAGCACTACAGCACTAAAAAAAAAAGGGAAAAAAAAAACCCGGCCTGTCAAGGTTGTTGTTGAAGACTGGAAGTTAAACGGGATTGGCGTGTCGCTAGTTTTCGAAACCAGCTGCGACTGTCGATGCTAGCTAAATGCTAAGTGAGAGCAATTGGTTGGGGTTCTGTTTTTCTGCGTGTTTGCTGGAAGAAACCGAAAAGCAGTGTCCTCGCATATTCACAGTCGAAGACGTGGAGACATTAATGATTTAAGTTGCAGCTCTACAAGACCTTGGCCAGTAGCGCTTCATGTTTACATAGCTATTTTTCTTCAGCCACCAGCTAGCACATTTTACTAGTGACGGCTAGCAACTACACCAAGGGTCCTTCTTGTCGTTTTTGTGTTGTTACGCAGCCTACACTTCAAGATAATGTTGGCTAACTTAGTCCTTATAATCTTCTAAATTCACCCAAGTCCTCTTTTGTGTTTCATCTTGCTCGCAGAAATAACAGTTTTAATGTTTTCGTGCAGCTTACGATAAACTGGCTGGTGTCAGTTTCATGTGCTGGAAGTAGCATTAGCTTTTCGGTGGGGTAACGACACCGTTACAGCTAACGTTATTTTGCTCTCGGAAAAATATGTTATAGATATAGCCAGTATGTTTAGTTATAGTGTTAATGTCGTTTTCGTTTGGCCGACTGGTTGAAATAACGTTAAAAATGTAAAACAAATGCAAGAAAGGGCTCATGTTAGCTGTCATAGCGTTAGCCTATCTACCTTAGCGTTCACTAACGCTGAATGTATAATTTGGTGATCAGTTTTTCTTAACTCAACGTTTTTTTTTTTCTTCTGAGATTAAACCAAGAGGAAATGGTCAGGCTTTATCTGTTTTTAATCCTTGACTAAACCGACCTTGATGGACGGATATTTTTTTCTTTAGCAGTCCTGGTAAAACGCCTATGCGGAGCTTTAACCGAGCGGCCTCCGATAACTAGCGTTACATTGTGGATTGTCTGGTATTCAGCTCAAACAACGATATGTATTTGCATAGATTTGGGTATAAAATATTAAATAAATATAACATTGTTGGGGTGTAGCCACCGCTATTTAAAAATATATATATATACTCTAAATTTATCCCACGTTATTAATGCCTTGTGTCTGCTAGTGTATCACTCTTCACATATATTGTTTGCTACTTGTATTAAAAGCCAACCGCGTTGAAATGTGAGCAAGTAGCCATCACATAAATGTTCAACTTGATGAACATGTTAGGCCATGTATCACAGCATTAATCTAGAAAACACATGCAGCTGTGTGCACTTAAAATGATTTGATTGTCAAAACCGTTTCATTTAAAATAAAAACCTAATTGCTTATGGATAACACATCTGTAGATATTGTGCTTAATGCAAGTGCTTGTAAACGTTTGCTGCATTCATTTAATGATTGTTTTAGGTGAAGATAAAGCTAAGAAATAAATGAGAAAATCCCTCTTAATTTGAAATATTTCACTATGGCAGGCCCAAAAAAAATTTATGTTGGCATATATTCTTGTTTGGTAACAGTGAGATTTTGAGCTAACGATTTTATGTTTTTCAAGTATGTAACTTATAATTTTAATTTTGTCAGATGTAAACTATGGATAAGCACAAAGCCTACACGCTTTCTGCTTTGAGGACATGGTTCTAGCTTTCTGAAATCTACACAATGCCACAAACATCAGTTATATGATGGGTCTCAATAGCAAGGGAAGAATAGATGGAAATGGAGTATCAACCAGGAAAGAGAGAGGTTGCTTTGCATGGCAACATCATGAGTCTTACTTCCTGCCAACGAGAACTTGGCCTTAATTTTGGGTTGAATAAAGTGTTGAACATGTCACTCATTCAAAGGGGACAGTTCTGTCAAATCATGTAAAAACATTTCCCTCCTTGTCTCTAGTGGTATCTCGCCATACAAATAGTTGCAGTCAAGGTTTTGAGATATCTGCTGCTGACACTCGGTGATGAGGTGCCACATTTATTTTATGGTGTTCAAATCATAGAACAAATACTTTTCCTCTTTGCTCCAAATAATCCACATACCCATGCTCTTTTCACTGTAATTATTTTATCTCAAACATGCAAATAAGTGGGGATGTGCTGATGATGAACAAGCAAAAACTAAAGTTGAAGTTCAGTTCCACAGCAGATGTAAAAGCAAAAAAATATAAAGTTCATTTAAGGAATTATAAAACCGCCTGTTTGAAATGATATTTTTGAAGCACTTTGTTTACCTGTATTTTCTCCATGTTTATGATACCCGTTCCGAGTCATTCTGTGAGCTAACATGGAGCAAGCGGTTTTCTGTACAACTGTGATGTTGCTGAGGTCGCAGTGGAAATGCTTATGATCTCTGTGTGGCCAGGGCCCTGACATACGGAAGAACTAGCACCGACAAAGGGCGATTGATGTGTCACCTCACATTGGCTCACATCTTTTGTTAAAAGTTGCACAGGAACACATTGCAAAAACTATACACAGTGCCCATATGACCACCAACATGCATGTACATTCTGCACCTGTGTGAGGAACTAACTAGTCACTCTGTTTCTAATTTACAAAACATCAGAGACAATCAGAACAAGCTGTCCAACCATATTTACATAAATGGTGAATCTGATTAAACATTCAATTCATATGCTCACAATACAGCGATACAGACATATAATACGCGTATTATTTCTGATTTAAAAGATGCATCTGGCATTATAAACATTTGCTTTGCCTTCCTTTTATTTGCTTTGCACTGGCATTACTTTGATTGTAGAAGAAGAAAAGGCAACTAAATGCGTAAATGGGGCTGAAAAGACAATCAGAAATCTCTCTAATCCACTGCAACCTGCCGATTCAAGCTGAATGGTCACTGCAAACTATACTGTACCCATCAGTGCTACACACCAAGCACAAACTATGAGCGGTAGTCAGCCACATATGCTAAACGGTGGTTATTTTTAGTTGTCAAGCTTCAATTTCTCTTGTTGCAATGACAACCTTCATGGACAGATTTTATCAGCTGTCGCTAATTAATATTAAACGGCCAGTTAACCCAAAAAAAAAAAAAATATTCTCAGCTGTGATTAGACACACAAATATTTTCAGATTTATGAGCCTTGGTCTGGAGCTATTCTCCTCAAAAGTAATGCTACTATCTCAGTACAAGTGGAGTTTTGTTTGTGCTGCATAAAACCTTGAAAATGTTATTTGACATTGTCAGTTATTTCTTTTTTTTTTTTTTAAAAACTGAAAATATGAATATTATGTTTACATTACTCCTGTATGTTTTGTTTTATCTTACAAAAAATCATTCTTGAATTAGAATTCGCCACGTTTGCAACCAGAATTTTCCAAATCTGACTTTGCTTTTAAGTCATGGTATCTTTGTTTTATTGTGACAAAATTTTAAAATAAATTGAGTTTTGACAAATTTCACATGGTAACAACCTCCACCACAAACATTTTGTAACAAAATTTCCGACGCTATGGTCTGTACTAAAGGTGGAATTTTCTTCTCCTCCTCTCTTTGTAGAATCAGAAGGCACTGGGAAGAGGCGCAAAGAAAAATTTCCATACTCGATGACATTACATCGCAATGTCCGATCGTTTGGGGCAAATAACCAAGTCCAAGGATGGGAAAAGCAAGTATTCCTCACTCAGCCTATTTGACAAGTACAAGGGAAAATCAATAGAAACTCAGAAAAACACAGGTACGTTTGTTTATGTTGTTTCTCTCCTAAATACTTCATTACTTTCTTTACATGTCTGTTAATCTGTTTCAATCCCTTTGTTAATCTCACGCCAGTGCTTTATCTACCTGTGTTTTCTCTCCCAGTAGTTCCGCGACATGGCTTGCAGAGTCTTGGCAAAGTGGCCACAGCCCGGCGCATGCCCCCACCTGCTCACCTGCCGAGCTTGAAGTCCGAAAACAAAGGAAACGATCCCAACGTGATTATTGTGCCTAAAGACGGTACAGGATGGGCGAACAAGCAGGAACAACCCGATCAAAAGAGGTAAGGGGAGACTGCAAACTACCTTCTTATCTAACAATAAAAGTTCAGGCAAATCAAATGTGCTACAAGTCATTTTAAGATTAACTGATAATATTTACACTACAATGGTATTCCGACAGCCTTCGTAGTTTTTGGTTTTCACAAAACTAAGCTTTTTTTCCTTTTTGTCCGCAGTTCTATTGCATCAATACCACAGCTGCCGGAGTTGCAGCCGCAGCTGGCTTTACAGAAATCTGTCTCCAATCTTCAGAAGCCCTCACCGGTAGCCAACCAGGAGGTGTGTATATGCATCTATGGTTAACATGGGACATTGCATCGTGAATATTGTGTTTTTAACTGTCTCTTGTTAATCTTCAAGAAGCCCTAGCAATGCACAACTGCAGCCCTAGTGCAGATTAAATTAGTTATAGCCAAAGAGTCAAGAGAAACCCAGAAATTCCACCGGGCGCGGCTTTCTAATGTTTTGGTTTGTCTTCAAATCCACCGACAGCGGAGTGTCTTAGGAGTGTGTTGCCTGCCATATGTTGTTGTATGTTGTATTCTGTACAAAACAGAATGCAACAAACAATATACAAAACAGTGTGTTTCTCCGCTTAAAATTTCCTCTAACCTGCTTACTTTCAATTCTCAAAAGAGTCTGCACGCAGTATTGTATTGAGAAAATTGACAGTATTCTTTGTGCTGTTATGGTGTCTGGCTTCCTGCCGCAGCTGGAGCATAGTGGAGTGCCCCTTCTGGGACTCACCGCTTCTGGTGCAATTTAAAGCATTACCTTCAACGGGCGCGATCAGGTCCAGTGAACGCAGCGGAGCCGGAGCGCTTTGCCGCAATGTCTGGTGGAATTTTGGGGTAATGCAGCTAGTAGACTGTGACCTTGGTTTTCTTCACTTTCACAGAACACAAACACAGGTGGACCAAAGCAATGGGCCCAGCTAAATGGAAAGGCAGTAGAGCCAGATGGTGAGTCCCCTAATTTATCTATAATTGAAGGGGGGGAGTTTATTTAAAATCAAACAACATTCTAATGCTGAATGGTGTGCTGTCCGGATTGTGACCCCTCCCACATCTCTTTGCCAATTAGTACAACAGTCCTCAGTTTGTACACTTCAGATGAACATCTTTCTTTATGCTACTTCTTTCAACAACATCATCAGGTTTAAGGGCCTCAAACCGACTTCAGCCCTTCTCTCACGAGGAATTTCCCACGCTGAAGGCAGCTGGAGAACAGGACAGGGCTGGCAAGGAAAGAAGCGGCTTCGATCCGTCGTATGGGCCCGGACCAAGCCTCCGCCCCCAGAGTAAGTCTCAACTTTCAGAAATTGTCTGCCAGTCTCAAAGATAAAAGCGAAAAAAAACGATGAAGTCTGCTAGAAAGCAAATTATTAAATTGGCAACGGCAGAGTTTTGATTATCTGGGAATTAATGATGCTGATGAAACACATTAACAACTAGTTGAACTCCACAACAGACCCGCTGACATACTTATACTAGTGTAGATGCGATAATAGCTGCTGTTTTGTTTTTTTATGTGTGTACAGACAATTTGGGATGTTCTGCATGGGCTGTTTCAGTGATACAAAGAGCATTGATTGACTTAGCAACGCGTAATTAACTCCTGACATTAAAGACATGGAGATGACAGTGTGGTTGTTTTGTAAAGTGCAAATCATTCCATGTAAAGTTTGTTCATTGTTATTTCTGAAATTTCCCTCTCCCCTCTTCAAGATGTGACGAGCTGGAGGGAAGGTGGTGGCAGGAACCTTCAGCCCTCGTCCCTGACCCTCGGCCTGCCAGCAGATCCTGAGGGTAAGATCACTGCCCTGGGTGAGACTGGCACCCCTCCAGCCTCATCTCACCCCCCCTCTGCCACCGGCACAACCTCTTCTAGTGTAGTGACTGCTCAGTCACCAGTCCTTGACCCAAAGGAGCCTTCCTTGCGAC